TGGCACAACAATTTCCTGCAGGATCAATTTCATTCAGTCAACCTTTATTTATACAGGTTAGTCCCATTGAGCCGCGAGGACTCGTTTACAAGAGAGACCTGAAATATTAAGTTCTTATAAATCAATAAAGTTGTTATCTTTTGATGAATAAACATGTTAAAAGGCGGCATGTGGTGCAGTTAGTAGAGATGTTGCCTCTCAGGGTTAAGGTCGTCGAACCTTTCTGGGTGGAGTTTGCATGTTCTTTCCATGCATGCGCAGGTTTTCTCCCAAGTTCTCCGGTTAAATATATTATGTTTTATGGGTGTGACTTTACAATAACATTTCCGAGCCTTGTTTATAAGTACCTTTATTAAAGTTTTAATTTCACAGGAAGCAGGACTACACACAGATGGCTAAAAATATATGTCATTATTGTTTTATATTTGGCAACATATCTCTCTCGAATAAGACAGTTTTACCATTAAAAAAATACATTTTCATAAACAGTAATATGTTCTATCAACTACCGGTAAATAGTTTTGAAACATTGCTAAAGATATGGTCCCACACTTGTGGCATGCTTCAAACTCCTTTGTTGAAATCAAACATACCTCTGTCCAGCTGAGATCAAAAGAGAATACACATCTGTAATAACAGCTACAAAGGGAAATTATCAATAATCAATACCCCAAACCATTCCCACATAGGACAAGTCCAAAGGTTGCTGGGAAAACTGGAGACGTGTGAACATTTTCACTCAACATGTGTTGTTGTGTGCAGTGGGTCATCCAGGATCGCTGAGGAGACCCAGCTCAGTGTTCGCTGGACCAAACCGTTCTAGTACAAATCCTCAGACTTTGCAGAATTACAGTTTAAAGGAGCTGAAATATTTTGTAATTTGTGCATCATCATGTTTAAATGTGAGATCTGAGGAGCTGACTGAATTAAGTGATCAATGAAGGAATGCCAATGTGTAAGAACAGTTGTAGTCAACTTGAGCTCGTCTCCTCCGTGATGAGACGTTTGATGATGAGCACAGGTCTGCTCAGTTTTACCAGCATCGTTCTTTACTTCAAGACAGAAAACAGGCTCTAAAGATGAAGAGAACTCCAGTGTGCTCACATTTACAGGCTGTCCACGTCCTGTTGGACATACTCACATGCCAGGATTCAAAAACAAAAAGTACTGCTTGAACATAAAAACACCCCCACTGTACAATACTCTGTTGTTTAAAACGTTCCAAATTCAGCCTGACACTGATGTAGGCAAAGAATAAAAAAATAAGTATTTGTTCAGAACAAATAATGTTTATATGAATCAAAGAACAGGATGAATCGAATCTTTATGTGAAGGTCTGACATGGCCACCAAGCTTCAAATCAAAAGAGTTTAGAAACAGAACCGTCTCAACTCGTTCTTTAAAAATACACCTTCACTTCATCTGCTTCTCCAACATCATCACTAACTGTAAGATTTTATGTGATCACAAACGTTTTGTTTTCATGGAGCACTACGTCTGATCGACATAATGTGGTACAAGTTGAGAATCAAGGCAGAGCCAGTTTGTGAAGCCAGCGGAGAGCACGTCAGTGCCATGAAGTGAGCACAGCGGGCTGGATCAATGCAGTGGCAACGTGACAGAGTTAGCGTGAGCCTGGAACTGGCTCCTGACAAGAACCACAACAATGTTCTGAACAGGTCCAACACAGACGTCAGAACAACTCATTCATTCAACCAACAGCTGGAATCAGTTTGTAAAGTTTGGGCACCAGCCGATCAGTGATCCTGTGCACAAAACGTATTCACTTTTAAACAACACTGTGCATGGCTCTCTTGGAGGTGAAATTACTTTGAGGAAACTTTTTGTATCTACAGACTAAAAACAAAAACTTGATGCCAGTTCAAATAGGACTCGTTCAGTCAGCTCAACACAGAGGTAGAGTCTTTCACACGGTGACATGTGAATGATTCAGACGACTAGTTTCTTTTTTTAACCTGGTTTTAGTTTGTTGGCTGTAGAGAAGACTCTACTTCAACAAACCAGTTGGACCAACCACCGCTGACCACGGTCAGAGACCAGGCGTGAACAGTTATTCACATACAGCAGAAAACAGTGAAGACATGTGACAGGAAGGTTTGAAAACCTCTTCAAATCAAGTCGGACAGGCAAATCCACACAAGACAAAACACTGTAGATTTTTTCAAGCCCAAAAAAATCTTAAACATGTTCTATATCTGAGGAACGTCTGAGGAACGTCTGACGAACATCTGTGGAAAGTCAGAAAAATATTAAAGGAATGTCTGAGATGAAGGAACATGTGACATGTAGTTTGTTAGTAATTATGTTCTAGACTTTTGTGATTATTTATTTTTAAGCATGTTGCCATAAAGTGATGTCATTGCAAGTGTTGTGTGTGTTTGTCTTGTGTTTTGATTAGTTTGTGCCGTGTGAGGACCGAGGGGTCATGAAGTGAAGGCAGACTGCAGCTGCTTGAAAGCAGCTTGTCGTTCTTTCTTCTCCGTCTGCTGCTTTATTCGTTCCTCCTTTTCCTCTCGAATCTCAGCCTCAAACTTGCTGCTCTGAGACAGCGCCTGCACCTGGGGAGAGAGGACAGGAGAGCACGTTATTCTCCAGCACCTTACACAGCAGCCTTCTGAAGCCAGTCCTTCACAGGGCAGTCACTGCGAGGGACTAGATATGTGTGTATATATATATATATATATATATATATATATATATATATACATACACATATATACATACATACACATACACACATATACATATATATACATACATACACATATACATATATATACATACATACACATATACATATATATATACATACATACACATATACATATATATACATACATACA